AACGCTTGTTTATAAAAGACAGTGCTGTAAGAAAAGGAGAAAAATTATCTGGAGGACGCTCCGTTGATACTGAACATTTTTGAAATATACGTTATCCAAGTTTTGGTAAAGTTAATAAAGCGTTTGTGTCATACTGGTATAGTCTTGCGGCAGTCAAAATCGTCGACCTACATTGTTTTCAATATAACAAGTGCACTGAAGATCAGTATCAGAACGAAAATTAAAAAAGAATCTAAACTCAACGGTAAGAAGTCCACATACACCGAAGACAATACAAGTTTTAGCGCATTTTTTTAAAATAAAAAAAAATGTGCTATTGTTTGCGTTTTGTCCGTTCGTCTGTCTATCCGTCCGGATCCACTCCTGCGGTTGTGAGGAATGGTCCTAGAGTCCTGGAATTTTTTTGCATTACGTAGCCCTATACCTTGAAGGTGTGCCACACGGGACATCAAATTTCGCTGTCTCAAGACCTCCCCCCCCCCCCATGAATTATTTGCTGACATGGTGTTTTAGAAAGTAAAACGTGTATAACTTTTACTTGCGACAACCAACTGATTTTGCATACGCATACCTATGTAGCGCCACGTAAAATTTTTGAAAATAGGGGAGGGGGATCACGTTCTACTCTTCATGGTCTCACCGAAATGAGTTGGTTTGTACAAACTATAACTTCCCCGCGCGACTCCTTTTCGAGATCAGTAGGTGGCCGGCGGGGGAGGAGGGAGGGAATAGAAATCAATCTTACCTTTCATGGTATTTTAATTGAACGTCTCTACCAATTACCGCCCTACTTTTCTGACTTCTTATCAAAAGGGGGTTGGGAGTTTTATCCTTCATGGTACTATAATGAAAGGTCTGAATGAAAGGAATTAATTTCTACCAACCACAGTCCTACCCCTCCACCCCTTATCGTGATCGGATATAAATAATTCCTTATATCTCAAGAACAGATGGTCGGACATACAAAGGGCGATTGGGACGTCTGGAAGAAATATATCTATTGGCGATGTAAAACTTTACGAGCGAATATCTCGAAAACGCTTTGTCGGAGGAAAGTACCCACAAAGGCAAAATGAATTGTTTAGACCAGACATATCTATTGGTGAAATGCCCCATTAATAATCTACCAAGAAAAAAAAACATTAATAAATATAGCAGCCTACTACAGGGAGATCAATAATCATATGCTGCGAATTGTAAATAAACGTTTTTTTTATTGTAGCGTGTAATAGGTGTTCTCTACATGCCTTTTACGTTAGAAGAGAATAAGATGCTTTTGCAGTCCTATTTCCGTAATGGGACTAAAGACGAAAATGGAGTTTGGGTGTACTCGATCCGTTTGTGTATACAGGAGTTTCGAGAAACTTATCGGGATAATAATGAAGATTACAACAATATACGTCGAAATGTTCATCGTGTACTTGAGCGGTTTAACAATACGGGGAGTGTTGCTTCTGGGAAGTCACCTGGCCGCCCAGTGATTGCCAATGAGGAGGTTGTAGAAGATGTTCGTGCTCGACTTGAACAAAGTCCCAAAAAGCCGTTGCGACAATTGGCCCAACAAACAGGCTTCTCATACTGAACGTGTCACACTATTGTCCGGAGAAAATTGCACTTTTACCCTTACAAAGTAACTGTGTTACAAGAACTACATCGTCCAGACTTGCAAACCCGTGTAAATTATTGCAATTGGTTTAATGCAAATTTACGAGATAACAACATATTGGACAAGACTTATTTTTCTGACGAAGCATGGTTTCATTTAAGTGGCTATGTGAATTCGCAAAACTATCGTACTGGGAGTGCAGAAAATCCACATATCTATCAGAAAGCTCCACTTCATCCTCTTAAAGTAGGCGTGTGGATAGCGATGTCGAGGAGGCGGATTTTGGGACCGATATTCTTCAACGACACTGTTAATGCGGAACGTTATCGTGGGATGTTGCAAGTGTTCATCGATCAACTTCACGATGATGAAATGCAAGAAGGTTTTTTCCAACATGACAACGCAAGTGCACATACAGCTGCCGCGACAATACAATTCGTACAGGAGTACTTTGATGATCGAATGATCGGAAGGAACCTCTGGCCTCCAAGATCACTTAACTCCCTTGGACTACTTTTTATTTAGTCACCTGAAAAACGTGATATATCGAAACCGTTTGCACACGATTGCCGAATTACGAGCAGCTATAGAAGCTGCTGTTCAGAATATCACGCAACAGCAGTTACACGCCGTCTTCGAAAACATGAAGAAACGAGTGGATGCCTGTCTTAACAGTGGTGGCGATCACTTCGAACAGTTTTTATAGTGTGCTAATTTACACAATTACATTGTTATTAACAAGTTGTACAAGAAATAAAACCATGTCATTTTTTGTATTAATTTGCTATTTGTGTAATTTCGCATGATTTGTAAATTAAAAAGGTTAAACTGTTGATTGAAATTAAACGTCAAAACATGTGTATTTTGAATTTTAAGGTTATGTTTTAGTATTGGTGCACTATCGCGCGTGTTGCGGCAAATGATTACTAACGTCACTATTAATTGAAGCGGCGCAGCAACTCAATATTGATCGCACTGTACCTTATAACGGAACCATTATTTTATTAAGCTATTCCGGTTTTAAAAAATGCATCTGCACAAGAGCTGTGCCCAATGATTACTTGTTTTTAATTGTCGTCTGTGCTGTTGAATTAACATTAAATTGGTTTTGGTTAGATTTAATGTGGGCGGTATTGAGGAAAGTTGACGTTTAATTTTAGATTTAAAATGTCTGTAATTGTTTTTAAATTTTGTCGCATGTGTTTACAAACCCAGTAAATTTAGAGTTTCTTGTAATTTGGCAAGCGGAGTGTGTGATTTCAAAATCTTTGTAAAAATAAATGCAATAAAATTTTGTTTATAAATCTAATGTATGTGTTCTTTTAAATCATTTTCAGTGACGAAGGTGACATCCCATTTATTTTTTAATCGTCCTGAAGTGCGGCGTGGCATTTTATTTATTATCCCTTTCTTGTACTGGGCTCTCCACAGACTTGGGCCCAATTACATAGTGACCCGCATAATGCTTTTTAGAGGCGCCTCTGCAGAAGGTCTTAAGTTGTTTTATACTACTCCGGTAATTACCTTACGAATTAGGGAAACTTCAGGAAAACATAATTCGGAGTAGCCGGCAGAATGCTCGAAACTGGTCTAAGGTAATTCCCATCTCTTTAGAGTTTTGTATTTTGGTGTAGATCATATTGGGCTATCAGGACAGCTACGCAGCAATATTAATAATATAATTAAGTATAATAATTCTAATGATAAAATTAAACCAAAATTGCGAAAAAATGGCGTGAATCGTATGTCAGTCAAGTGTGGCAAAACTAAGGAGAAGCTAGCTCAGGGTTGGAAAATAAAAAGAGCTTTAGATTCTTCACAGCGATTGATTCGCTTGTGCATAAATCTTCGTAACCTCCCTGCAGCTTACCATAGAAATGGGTACCACCTAGTTTCTTTGAATGTTTAACTTAACTGGGAACACGCAAGGGAAGTATAACGATGAAATGCAATAAGGAAATACAGATAATTACATTATACAACAATTAAACTTTCTATACTAATGTAAAATAAATCCCCATATATCAAAACGTTAAAGTTAAACTTAACCTCTGACAAATCCCCTAATTCAATAATGATCGAGTTTCACAAAGATTCCCAAAAAGTAAAGTGTGTAAAACGCTGATAGCGACTAAACTTGCATGGCCTTACAGTTCCAATACTCGCTTTAAATTTACCATAGAAAACAAAACCTGCCAATAATGGCTTATCGTGTCTGAAATTCTAAAATATTAATTTGTTCTCTTCTTCTCTGGCAAGACAGCTTTCGGCAGCGATAAAATTAGGTTAAATATTCCTACAGGAATGATTGCAAAACTGATAAATTCCCTACTTAACTTACTTGCGTTATTGGCGGTAAGACAATTAAACAAAGTGAAAACACACACACCTCACTCCTCGTCTGCTAGAGCAAATAAGAAAATTCAGAAACTACTTAGTAACGAAGCTCCCAACTTAAAACGCTTCTAGATACCGGGTGTTGCGTATTTTGATGCTTAACAAAATGCAGTTTTGAAACTTTAAAAATTCCGACTCCTTTCGGAGATATCCGGAAAACACCGAAATTTTGCAAAATCGTTTCTATTTTTTACTGAAGTTATTTAAAAAGATATTTCGAAATAAATAACACATTATTATGGCCACTTTTTTCTCTCTACAAGATACTAGTTTCAAATTTTAAATCGGACGTATGGTCTCCAGTTGACCATCATCACCTTTGTTTCTTCTTATGGAAGTAATTTTTACTTTTTCGGTCATTTGATAGAGAATTCAGAAGAGAGTTAAAAAATATAAACATCACAATTTTTTTAAATTATTAAAATATTTTCTTTTTTGCCTAGAAAACATTGTCTTAGAGAGTGTACGTACGTAGTTTCTTGCGTTTTTACGAATATTAGCGTTATTTATGATTAAAAGATAGTGATGTTTAAATTTTTGAAATTAGAAAAAAAATCATAATCAAATGACACAAAAAGTAAAAATGACTTCCATAAGACAAAACAAAGTTGATGATGGTTGACTGGAGACGAAACGTCAAACTTAAAATTTAAAAGTAGCACCTTGTAGAGGGACAAAAGTGACCATATCTTTTTGTGCATTTTGCAAAGTTTCGGATTTTTCCGAATATCTCCGAAAGTAGTCGGAATTTTTTAAGTTTCAAAACTGCATTTTGTTCAGCATCAAAATACGCGACTTTGCCAAATTTAAACTACCTACCACCAGATTCTTAAAATCGATTTTTTATGGTTTAATTAACGGTAATCTTTCTAAGATTTATCCATAACTCTAGAACTGTCTGGGGGGCCTCCAGAACTCTAATTACAACTGTTTATAAATGAGGGTGATGCGCTGTAAATTCAAATGTTCAAAATATAAAAAATTACAGGATAAATTTCAATTTATTTAATAAATAGTATTACATAAGCTGGAATTCGCAAATTTATGTAAGCTAAGAACAAACAGTCACACTTTCCTCTTCACGCGCGTACCATAAATTGATTCTATTTTCTAAAATTTTATTCTCGTACAAGCACTTTAATACGCATTTCACAATAAAGAAAACCATAACTAGAGCTATAACTGCAACCACAAATATCATCATGCCGTATATGCCACTTACGTATTTATTAGACAAGAAGTCAGTGCGATTAGTGTTCTCCTCGATGGACACAGAACTGAACCACTCATCATTTAATGCTTCTTTGGATATTACACTCAAAAAGTCATTAAACGACAAGTCTTTGTAGCTATCAAGTTTATTATGTGAACACGCGATGCCGTGCAAGTTGGGGACATCAAAATGATGGGAGGGACGATGAAAACCTGCAAGCTTGGCACTCATTTCCCCATAAATTTGCATTAATCTTTTACATTCCCAAAAATTATCGTTTATAATGAAAACCTTTAATCCGACATGGTGTTTTAACATTGACGTTATATCCAGATCTGATACAGTGATATTGCTGATGTCTAATGTACGTAATTGACCCAATGGATATAGGTGAAAGCTATTAAAATCGGCTAAAGCATTATGCGAAATGTTTAACGTCTCAAGAGTGTATAATCCAGTAAAGGTACTGACGCTTAACGACGAAAGCCAATTTTGGGATAAGTCCAAGTCGTCCAAGTACTGAAGGCGTCCAAAGATACCAGTGGCAGTCTTCTGCAGTCGGTTGTTTCTTAAAAGTAATTCATTTAGATTAGGCAAGCCTCGAAATGAATCGGAGCTTAGATGGGCGATCATGTTGTCCGACAGATCTAGGATACGTAAGTTTTCTGATCCTAAAAATGTGCCATCTTCAATTCTGGTAAGCAAGTTGCCTTTCAGGTTTAAAATTGTAATGCATCCCTCGATATCGGAATTAGAACACCTGAAAGTACCTGCGTTTAGTTTGCTTATCAAATTATTTGATAAATCTATAAATTGTGTGTCTGAAAATTCTCGTCCTTTGCGAAATGATGTTCGGAGGAAGGAGTCTTCGTGCACTTCCTCAATTTCATTTCGTGATAAGTTTACAGCTGTAACTGTCAGACCTTCAAACATGTGATCTATATTTCTTATTCGATTGTTTGATAAAATTAATCTTACTGTGTAAGTTCCATTAAATACTCCAGGTGGTAGTTGCGAAATGTTGTTGTTGTGAAGGTTAATCTGGCCTAGAATAGAAAAACCGTTAAACACTTTCGGTGCGATGTCACTAATTTCGTTGTTTTCCAATATGAAGGCTCGCATGTTAGAGGAAAAGTTCATGAAGACATCTTCGCCAATTACTTGGATGTGACTGTCACTCAAATTGAAATATTCTCCTTCGAATTTTGTAATAATAGTTTCCCTATTCAGCACCGAGATATTGCAATCCAAACACTTCAGATGAGTTATCGATTCAGTTACAGGTGGAAAATACCGCGTACCATTGGTACATGTTAACACTGTCGAGTAATAACCGGTGGTAGTTTGGTTACAGTATTGAGTAATAACCACAGACAAATACGCGTATAATACGAAAACGACACTGCTCGCTTTGAACATCGTGTGTAGAGCAACTTTTGTAGAATACTAAACCACAATCTAAAATTGTTCAAAAGTAGATAATACGTTTCCGTATTTATAAATTCTATTTTTAATGTATACGATTACAATTCTCGTATTACACTTGAATAATATCGTGATTCAAACATAGGTACGGACCGCGAACACATACCTCTTCCTCATTTAGGTATGCGATAACGCTGTTTCCATTTCAGAATAGCCGTTATCACATTTAAAGTGGACAGTAGAAAAACGTTAGCTGCTACTTTGTTAACGGAATATAAGTGTTTAGGATTTTGGAAATCCCGTAGGTAGTTATCGGTACATCCCAATTTTCCTATGATGATTTAACAACCAGTATATTTTTAGAATACAGTGGTGATAACAAGTTAAAATAATCCATTGGCCTTTGGCGAGGTTATTACCACCCGTCTGTAACTTTACCAATACCAATTATATACAGAGCGCGTTCAATGAAATAACAAAAATGATAGCAGACAGGGGAGAAGAATTGAACAGTCACATTGTACTATCTTACCTGTCATACAGAGTGAACATTTTGTCTAGAACGTTGAATATATCTACCAAGTAGCATCTTTAGAAGGAAAGTTTGTATGGTATCCAAGTTACATACCTACTTGAAATTTGTGGTCAATGGCGTACTTCTGTATAGTCAAAAGAAGCATTTGTTTTTAAATAACAACCACTAGTTGTCATTACATATTGCTAAAGGGTACTTTGTTGGATAACACAGCTCAAAAAAACTTATTCTATTAATCAAGTTGAAGGAAACTAGTATAATTAATTTCATAATTTTACTGGTTACTGTTACTCATGATCTTTTATTTATTAAAAAAAAGTTCATTCTTTAATCATTTCTCACAAAAAATAGTGCTTCCCATAAAAAAAGCGACCCTCTTAGTTCTGTAGACGCCCCGGTGCTGGGTAGACACACGCCACTACAAATAACAAAGAATATCTTTGTTTTTTCAACGCAAGCTGGTAAAATATTTTCCTTAATTTGAGTTTTTCTCTAGAATTTGATTATGTAATGTAATCCAGTTTTTATGCTACTATATCCAAACAAGTATAAATTGTGCATAAATCATGTGCAGATAAAGCGCATTTTCTTTAGCCTAGGTAATAGCTTAGTAAATAGTTGGATAATACGGTAGTAGCATGCTATACTTATTGATCTTTAGCTCCACGCTGGATGATTAATGGGGGCCCCTGCTCGGGCGCCAAATGTGAGCTGAACGGGGTTCTGCCTTCGGGTAGCTCCAGCCGGCTGGCCAGAGATCGAAATCGTGCTAATTTAAACTGTTTAATTAATAAAAAAAATAAATTACAATTCAAATATTGAATTCCCGGTGTTGTGTATGGAGACACCTCCACTGGCTGTCAAATTCCTGGTTGACCTTATTCTGTGGGTTGACCTTGGACCCTTGTCTTGTAGTTTTCTTTTCTCCAAATCGGAACGTACGGTGGGTGTTACAAGTGCTACTAGTTCGCACTAGTTACAACATAAGCCCGGATTCTTATCAAGGCTCTAGGAGGTAGCAGGTAAAGGAAATACCGGAAGCTTTCTCCACCGATATTTCAGGTGTTTTCAGCAAAGAAATAACCCGACCTGTGTTGACTTGAACAGGAAGTAATAGCTCCCAAATAAAGTCGGCAAGGATTTACCTGGCGACGGATCTTACAGAGGAACTACCCCCCGGTTCCAACAACCTCTACTCAAAGTCGGTGGAATCCGACGGTAAACAAGGAAGGGAAGATATTTGGATTCCAGTCCGGTCGACCGACCGAAGGCAAGAATACAAAGAACAAGTTCTGTGTCTGGTTTTATAAGCCCGCAGGGATTTATCCTACCAGGATTATCTTCCCCGGGAACAGGTGAGTAAAACGGCAAAACTAATAGTAATTATCGAATTAATAGGTCTGGGAAAATAATGGAACTAAAACGAAAAGCTCTCGTAAAATTAAAACGAAACGGAAAATAAAATAAACTTAAAAGGATTTCAGGTTTTCTAAACGGGCCGTAATCTGGTCTGGTTCTGGGTCTGGTGGATGATTGTAACAAGGTAACGGAATTAATCGGAAGTGCTCTCTGGTACTTTACAAACACATTTTATAGGACACAAAACAAGGTGAGAGATGTAGAAGGGATTGCAAATAAAGGATGGGGACGACAACAGGCGACATCTAACGAAGGGATTTTACAACACAGTAAAGAATGTTGCACAAATAAAATTTCTACGTTATCAATTTGATGTTTTCTTTCAGGGGGATCTTTACATATAAAGATTCAAAGGCCGTCTGGCATACATTCAAAATCTACGCTATCTAGTGCAGGAAGAATCAAGCCCATGTTTTTCAAAAGAAACACATTTCCCTCGTATGATGGTGTTGTCCGTCCGTCCGTCTGTTCCTCGACGAATCGACCACGAAAGGAGACAATGTTATTAACTCTTCGCCAATAGATTTCTACTATTTCAACGATCAGTGTTATTGAATTTAAACCGGATTAAAAGTCTGATTTTCCAATATGACTTGAGTGTCAAAAAATTCCCCTATTGAAAATCGTATGCGATTTTGCTTTGTAGGTACTTTCCTCTAACTTTCAAAATATTCATGATTAAGTTTTCACATCGCTAGTGGATGTGTCTCGTTTAGAGGATCTTTCAGCCCTTTCTGAGTGCCCTTCTCCGACACTCCGTTCTGCAGATATTTGCACTAAAACTTTTGACATCACCAGTAGATGTATCTCGTCCAGACGTTTCACTTGCCTTTATGACACTTGGTTGTTAAGGTATTCGCTTCGACTTCAGCAATAGCAACGTCTCGTCCAGACGATTCATTTTGCCTTTGCGAGTACCCTCCTCAGACAAACCGTTTTCGAGATATTGGCACCAATGGATATATTACCCTCCTCCTACAATCCGCTCTGGCGATATAAGGAAGTATAACCGATCACGATAAGGGGTCGAGTAGGAGTATGGCTGGTAAAAATTAATTCCTTTAATCGAGACCTTTTATTAGAGAACCATGAAAGATAAAACCAATTTATGCCCCCCCTCCTCATCACTGACTGATCTCGAAAGGGAATCGCGGAAGACAGTTGTAGTTTGTACAAGCCAATCCTTTTCATCTTCCCCTTTGTTTTAGTTAATTGAAAGAGGCAAAAATATCACTTACCTGTCGTCGTCCAATTGCTATTTTTTTTCTTTTTTCTTTTCTGGTACAAGGAGAATATGACGAGGGAAAGGAAGAAAACAGGATGGAGAAGATTTAATTAATTGACAGATAAGCGAATGCCCAACACTACCAATGACGACGCCAAAAGACCAAAAAACAACTCACACGCAATAGAACTTTACCAACAACAACTATTGAATTGAAAAATGTTATCAATAATGTATCACAATTTCCCAAACTAAAAATTAAATCAACGTATGCATGCTCCATCTACACAAAAATAAAAATAATACTATTTGAAACTGAAATTTAATCATCGGCTTCAACACCCTTAAGATAACAAAATTAGGAGGACATCTGCCACACCTTCACACCTATTGCAAAAAATTCCAGGCTTCTAGGACAATTCTCGTAAAAGTACTTCAAAACCACAGAAGTGGGTCCGGACAGAAAGGGCGGACGGACGGACAAAACGCAAAAAATAGCATATATTGTTTAATTCTTAAGAAATGCGCTAAAAAGTACTCTTTGTGAATATGTAATGAAAACTACCGGTTGCCATTAAAAAAATAAAGCCCCTTCACCGTGCAGAAGTACGCCAATGGCCACAAATTTAAATTACGTAGATTAGTAGTTGATTACCATAAAAAGCTTCTTTAAAAAACGTTTCTTTGAAGGTATATTCCGTGTTCCAGACAACATTTTCACGAGTTACACTGTAAAAAGTACTCAATGCTATGTGCAATGGCAAAAGGTCACTAAACCACCAGTCCAGCTAGCTCAATTAAAATCAGGTACTCGCATGAAAATTTTTACTAGCCAAGGCATGTCCAGCATCATCTATTACGTAAAATCTCGATGAGACATTAATTTTATTATTTTGAGAAATAAAGCAGTCTTGACCACTCCCATAATTCTAACGAATTATTTAACAAATTTAATTGACACCTGACTATCCTGGGCCAGAATAGAAAACTCGACCTAACCGATTAAACATGAAGCTAATCATTCACAGACAAATCAATTTATTTAACAAAATCAATCAATAAAGCTAACATAAAAATAGGCACACAGGGCCAGATGACAAATATCACGCACATGCCTTCGATTGAAGCAAGTTAAATTTAAAATAAGGCTTTAATTACCTACCTTAAAGTTAATAATCGTTGACACCTGTCAACTGTGATTCACTTCAAATGTTGCCCCAAAAAAACATACACAAACACCAATGGAAAACGCTTCTGAAACACTTTCACTTCTTTTCGATTTACACTGGTTTTGATATAATTACAATCGTTGATATGGCTGTTTTGGTGGTTGAAAACTTCAGCTTAATAGATATTGGAAGATCTGATAGAAAGGCTTCGCATAAGTGATCAACGCACGATAGACAGAAATTCAGACTAATTCTTCGTAAGCGTAAACAACGATTCAACTCACTCAAATTATAACATTCACTTTTAATAACAACGAGTTGATAACTTTTAGAACACCAACTAACTTCCTTCTATAACAGATAACTGACTTTTATAATTACAAAGACTGACTGTCTCAAAAACAAACGGCAAACTGCCAAACACAATCAGCGACCACCAAACAATAAAACGTCTGCTTCGCTTTGTTGAGACTAATTAGCTTTACGCAGCGATAACGAACTCTTATCCCCCCCCCCCTTACACAAAACAAAATTTCGGCGGTCTGGATAGCTATTAATTAAAAAAAATCAAGTAGTATTTCAAAGTATTTTAAAATTTTTTTAATTGTCAATCTTCTTTTAAATTTTCTAAATTTTCCAGAATTTTTTTAATTTATAAAGTTTTCCTCTTCTCGAGTAGTTAATGCTTCTAAATTTTGTCAAAACTTCAATATTCTCGTTAAATATTTTTTTCATGTTATTCGTCACTCACTTAAAGTTTCGGTAGGGAATATATTCAGGACGGATTTAG